AATTCAATAATTTAAAATTTGTCAGGAAAGCATGCATTTTAAAATATTTTTTTAGTTGTCAATGGACCTTTATTTTATTTATTGATATGCGGTACTGAGAACTGAACCCAGCGCCTCACACATGCTATGCAAGTGCTCTGCCACTGAGCCCCAGCCCCAGCCCTAAGCATGCATTTTTAAAAATATTTTTTTTTATCAAGTTGTTCATGGAAGTCTCTTATATTTTTTTATAATCTTACTAGTATTTATTGTTACATCTTCTTTCATGTTTTTCTTTCTCAGAGTTTTATGGGGCATACTAAAATATAATAAAATACACATATATAGAGTGCCTAATTCTGTAATTTTCACAAATGCATACTCCAGTAAAACATCACCACAATAAAGATAATAAAAATGTCCATCACTCCCCGAAATTTTCTCATGCCCCTTGATAATCTCTTTTTCCCTCTCATCTAAGCCACTCCCACTGCTATAACCCTCCTACCTCTTCCCCAGCCAATTAGTGATCTGCTCTCCATAAATTGGTTTTCAACTGTTATTTTGCCATCTCTGTTTGTCAGCATTCTGTCATTATAACAAAATACCTGAGTTGATTAAATTATAAGGAGAAAAGATTAATTCTGGCTCATGGCTTTAGGGGTTCCAATCCATGATTGGGTAGACCCATTGCTTTTAGGCCTCTTGTGGGGGTAGTGCTGGATGGCAGCTTCAGGGAGCAAATTCTGGAGCAATCCTACTCACTTTGTGTCCAGGAAGCAGAGAGGGGAAGGGACCAAGTTCCCACAATCCCCTTCAAATACATGTCCTCAATGACCTAAGGACCTGTCAGTGGGCAATATCCCTCAAAGGTTCTGCCATTTCCTAATAGTGCCCCCTGGCGACAAAACCTTCAACATATGGGCCTTTGTGTGTGGGGTTGCCAATCAAAATCCAAATTTTAGCACCATGCTTCTTGTTCAAATCATTTGCCTGATTTAAAATTGTACTGTTTATTTTCTTATCATGGATTTTTGAGAATTTTCAAAAACATTTTCTGAATATAAGGTTTTTTTAACTGTTAATATGGATTTATACTTTTATTTCCTTGATAGACTTTTGGAACAGTACACAAACTATCACTTGTTAGTGGGAACTGAAGAACACCCCCCACTCCAAAATAAAGTGACTTAACTAAGGCCACACATTAGGATTTAATGCCTCTACAACTAATAAAAACAAAACAATGAATCTCTTCCTTCTAACCGTCTTTGATCTGATGATCATTATGTTACAAATTTAACTCCATCTGTAGGATTCTCTCCAAATCACCTAAATTTGATCACTAAACTAGAAAAGTATGAAATACATTTGAAACTGGATTTCTTTTCTTTTTTTTAAATTTTTTATTCGTTCTTTTTAGTTATACATGACAGTAGAATGTATTTTGATATATCATATATACATGGAGTGTAACTTCTCATTCTTGTGGTTGACATGATGTGGAGTTACACTGGTCATGTATTTATATATGAACATATAGGAAAATTATGTCTGATTCATTCTACTGTCTTTCCTGTTCCCATCCCCCTTCCTTCACCCCATTCCCCTCAGTCCAGTCTGCAGGTGAACCTCTACTCCCCATCCCCCATCTGCCTATTGTGAGTCAGCATCCAATATCAAAGGAAACATTTGGCCTTTGGTTTTATGGGATTGGCTTATTTCACTTAGCATAATATCTCCAGTTCCATCCATTTACTGGCAAATGCCATCATTTCATTCTTCTTTATGGCTGAGGAATATTCCATTGTGTATATATACCACAGTTTCTTTATCCATTCATCTGTTGAAGGGCACCTAGGTTGGTTCCTTGGCTTGGCTATTGTGAATTGAGCTGCTATAAACATTGATGTGGCTGTGCACTATAGTATGCTGATTGTAAGTCCTTTGGGTATATACTGAGAAGTGGGATAGCTGGGTCAAATGGTGGTTCCATTCCGAGGTTTCTGAGGAATCTCCATACCACTTTCGATAGTGGTTGCACGAGTTTGCAGTCCCACCACCAATGTGTGAGTGTGTCTTTTTCCCCACATCCTTGCCAACATTTATTGTTACTTGTATTCTTAAAACTGCCATTCTGACTGGAGTGAGATGAAATCTCAATATAGTTTTAATATGCATTTCTCTAACTGCTAGAAATGTTGAACATTTTTTCATATATTTCTTTGGTGAAGTGCTTATTCAGTTCTTTTGCCCAATTATTAATTGGGTTATTTGTTTGTTTGTTTGTTTGGTGTTAAGTTTTTTGAGTTGTTTGTATATCCTGGAGATTAATGCTCTAACTGAGGTGCAAGTGGTAAAGATTTTCTCCCATTCTGTAAGCTTTCTGTGCATGATCTTGTTTCCTTTGCTGTGAAGAAGCTTTTTAGTTTGATGCCATCCCATTTGCTGATTTTTTATTTTATTCCTTATGCTTTAGGAGTCTTATTGAGGAAGTCAGTTCCTGAGCTGACATGGTGGAGAGATGGGCCTACATTTTCTTCTAGTAGGCACAGGATCTCTTCTTTAATATGTGGGTCCTTGATCCACTTTGAGTTTTGTGCAGGGTGAGAGATAGGGGTTCAGTTTCAATTCATTCTATTACATATGGATTTCCAGTTTTCCCAGGACCATTTGTTGAAGAGACCGTCTTTTCTGCAATGTATGTTTATGGAGCCTTTGTCTAGTATGAGATAACGGTATTTATGTGGGTTTGTTTCTGTGTCTTCTTATCTGGTCTTCATGTCTGTTTTGGTGCTAATACATGCTATTTTTGTTACTATAAGCTCTGTAGTATAATTTAAGGTCTGGTATTGCCATGTCTCCTGCTTCACTTTTCCTGCTGAGGATTGCTTTGGCTATTCCGGGCCTCTTATATTTTTGTCTCTCTCTTTTTTTAAATATTTATTTATTTTTTAGTTTTTGGCGGACACAACATCTTTGTATGTGGTGCTGAGGATCGAACCCCGGGCCGCATGCATGCCAGGCGAGCGTGCTACCGCTTGAGCCACATCCCCAGCCCCAATGAGCCACATCCCCAGCTCCTCTTATTTTTCTAAATGAATTTCATGACTGCTTTTTCTATATCTATAAAGAACATCATGCAAATCTTAATAGGAATTACATTAAGTCTGTATAGTGCTTTTGGTACTATGGCCATTTTGACAATATTAATTCTGCCTATCCAAGAACATGGGAGATTTTTTCATCTTCTAAGATCTTGTTTAATTTCTTTCTTTAGAGTTCTGTAGTTTTCATTAGAGATCTTTCACCTCTTTTGCTAGATTAATTCCAAAATATTCTATTTTATTTTTTTGAGGCTGTTGAGGATGGGATAGTTTCCCCAATTTTTCTCTTGGTTGATTTATCACTTATGTATAGGAATGTAATTGATTTGTGGGTGTTAATTTTATATCCTGCTATTTTGCTGAATTCACTTTGGATATAAGTTCTTTATCAGATATGTGTTTTTCAACGAGTATGTCAACATATACTGGCAGACTCAAGAGACTAGTGATGGAATTACATTCTGAGATTATTTAATCATGGGGACCACAACACAAAATTAGATAAGGAACAATAAGTTAAGAATATTGATTGGGATCTTAGGAAGACCCCAAGAGATGGTGTGTATCCAGTAGTTGGGTGGTTCCAACAAAACATTGAGAAGGCAACTGCCCAAATCGAGCGGGATTGCTAGCAAAGGGAATGACAGAACTTCACAATGAGGGAGGCCAGATGGCACCACATCACCATCTAATGATAGAGGGCACAATGGGTACATGAGCAATGGTGTGCAGGGAAGAATGGGGGCGGGGGTATGGAAATGGGAGCCCACCTCCAACTCAGCTTTGCCCAGGTGCTGAGGCTTCTTGAGCCTGTTCTGCTCCTTCCTGGATGGTGATTCCAGCTCCTGATCTCTGTGCTCTGATATTTGTTTGATTTTAATTTTGATAAAGAGTTTGATATTTTTTTTTAGTTGTAGTTGGACACAATACCTTTATTTTATTTATTTTTATGTAGTGCTGAGGATCAAACCCAGGGCTTTGCACATGTTAGGCGAGCGAGCGTTCTACCGCTGAGCCATAACCCCAGCCCCAAGGGCTTGATTTTCATTCTTGGTTTGAATGCTCTTTTGGTTTTTTGTTGCTAGCTTTAGTTTAGCCTCATCCTATGCAAAATTCTCAATCTGCCTCCCAACTCCCTTCAAGAACTTCTGCCAGTTATATGCTTTGTGACTTTAACAACAATTCAGTTAATTTAAAAATGGCAGATTTTTACTAAAGACAATTTAGAGCTTCCTTTTGGGAGAGTTGTCTTTGTTCTTTTGGGGTATTTGAAATCTCTTTAAATTTTCCCAGTTTGTAGGTGTCCTAGAATCTTGGGGCCCTGAGATCTTTCCTCATCAATAATCAGTTTATTTTCTTGGTAAGACTGTAAAAAAAGAAAATATCTCTGACCTTGGACCCCTTATGATCCCACAAGGACTGTCCAACTCATCATCTGTACTCCCTCTGTTCCTCCTTCACCTCCAACTAAACCTCTCAACACCGTCCTCACGTGTAACCCTCCAGGTGTGCCAACCCTATCCTTTCCTTCTCTACTATCCCAGGAGAGTAAAACTCTTGTGTCCCTGAGTATGAGTCATCTTCTGGCTCCTTGGAAACAGGTATGCTGAGAGCCCACAGAGATATATTTTGGGGGATTCTACATGCTGCATGTAGACCTTGCCCAGGCACCCTGTTCTTCCAGCACTCCAGGAAGGGGTCACATTTCCCTCTTTAGGTACCACAGTCTAGTTTTGAAGAAACCCAAATGGCTTTCTCTAATTCCCAGGAGACTCTGAAAGCACAGCTGCTGAGGGACTTCACTCCCTGCCTGCCTCATGTTGTCGTTTTCCCATAGGAAACAGGAAGGCTTGGGTTCTGACCACACAGAATAGTGCCAGCCAATAACAGCTGAAAACCACAGAAAACCTATTCTGCACAAGGTTGGTTATCACTTTATATTATTCAAAAAGCATCAAGGAGAATCTTCTATACAAGTTCTGAAATATGTATTCAAAACAAGAAAATGGAATGGTAAATCTACTCACAAATAACAATTTGAGTTATAATGGTAATTCTTTAGTATTTTATCTAGTTTACCTATTCAATGTTTAAATAAATTGTTCTAGGACTTGTTTAATGAAACTAGAAAATAAAGTGACTTTAGGATTATCATTTGTTAATCATTCAGAATTTCATCTATGAGTCAGTTAATTGATAGTTGCATTTGATAGGTTTATTGTGTTTCTTCGAACCCATCTTCGGAATGCCCTCCACGGGTGGATGTTATGCAGTTGAAGCATAAATGCGGTAAAAATCAATCCCCCTAGCACTACAGCTGCTGCCACGGCAATGAGTGTATGTCCTGGAAATGGCAACGGTACCTCATCAACATAAATCTGCAACAGAAAAAGCAAAGTCTTTAAGTTTTCTGAATTTAGTAATGCAAAAATACTGAACATTACATGATTCCTACAGTTAATCACTTAGCAAAATTTTGCCCAGAGTTATGCAGACACTCACCCTCCACCAAGCATCTATACTACCATTCTCTTCCAGGATCCTGCGTCTCCAAGCCTGGATCATCACCCAAATTCTGCCCATATTTTCTCTTTAGTGTCCCTTAGATGGATACTTTTAATGTTTCTTTTCCCAGCCATCACCCTCTTTGGTATACCTTGTACATTCACTATACCTGAAATTCTTCAACCAAGTTACAAAAAGTGACCCCTGGAACAACGGACACTCTAAAGTGAAAAAGCTCTGAACCCTGTGGGGGAAAAAATGCCTGGTCATTAGCAGCACTAACATGTATACTCCTTTAAGTAAAAATACACTGAGGTCACTTTCTTTATAATGTTGCATGGAAATATTCCTATCCCTTCCCAAGGCTCTTAGACATATTTATCATGTATCAGATTAAAAGGACTGATGGAAATAGAGAGACATTTAATAACTGGTACATTTCTTTTTTAAAAATAAGCAAAACCAAAATCTACCTTGGCTTAGATGAGTACTTTGCGCTAACCCTCAAAATGTGTAGTTTTGCTATATCCCCTAATTGGTTTTACACAGCTACTGGGTTTTATTGACATTACACATTCTTATGGATTGTTGGAGCCAGAAGATATATGCCTGTGTATATCTCCTAAAAAGCACTAGACCCATTTCTTTCTAAATTTTGGAAATATTATTTCTGCTCCACTTTAGATAGCCTGTCTTATCTATCAGCTTAAAAAATAGTAAGCTAGGCCTCTCTTCACTATGGAGGGATGTGCCTTTGTCAGCTCTGATAAATAAACTATTGTGTGTATCTTTAAAAAAAAATAGTAAGCTAATGTAAAATTTAACTTTCAGAACCCTTAGGAAATAACAACATCAAGGGAAATGATGGAAAAACAAACTATATACTTTATTTTCATTTATTTTTTGGTGCTGGGGTTGAAAGTCAGAGTCTTGCCAGGCGAGGTGGGGCACACCTGTAATCTCAGTTGCTCGGGAGGCTGAGATAGGAGGATCATAAGTTCAAAGCCAGCCTCAGCAATGGTGAGGTGCTTAGCAACTCAGTGAGACCCTGTCTCTAAATAAAATACAAAAAAGGACTGGGTGTGGCTCAGTGGTTAAATGCCCATGAGTTCAATCCCTGGTACCCCCATCACCAAAAAAAAAAAAAGTGTGAATTGAAATTAGAGTCTTATGTATGCTAAGCACATGCTCTGCCACTGAACCACAACCCCCAAGCCCTCTCCATATACTTTAAAGTTGCCATTCCCACTGTTCACAGATCCCAATACTTCAAGACTAAAATCAATCTTAGACATGTATGTTTCATTTAAACTCAGCACAGTAAGAACAAAAATGCTGTCAACTTACCCTTATACTTATGTTGAGACCTGAAGGATTATACACTGGAACACGAAGGACTGCTTCTAAGTGATCTTTTAGTTTTTTAACATTTTGGGGTACAAAGTGTTCTAAAAATACAAGAAATATATTTTAAGCACACATATAATTTTCTCATTTTGTAAACTTTGTTACTACATTAAGGTGCAATGAAAGAGTCCACTCTGTGACCTGATTAAGTTATATCTTTTTAGTTCTGCTTGACTTTGTAGAAGATAACTTTGGGGGACCTTGGCCCAACATTTCACGTTGCCTTGGTTGACATACTTAAGAAGGACAAGGCTTCTGACCACCTTACTTTAGACTGATCTTTTCCTCCCATCTCTTGGCTCATGACTAGTCTTTACCTGAACATTCTCTGTGTTTTTGACAATGAGATCATCTTAGGCCCTCCTCAGTGGTTGGTGAATGATTTTCAATAGGGTGGCAGTGAAGTTTCATAAAAGGATCACTTGAGATAGTGTAGGGTTAGAGACCCTAGCGGTATAACGGATCTCAAGGGAAAAATGTGATCTGATTACAACAGTAGCCGATTTCCATGGGGTGAAAACTCTCACATGGCTACTCTTATGCTACCAATATTCAAACAATTGGATTGTAAAATGCTTCAATATTGAGCAGTCAGGACTCTAAACACCACAGAAAATGGGGATATTAATTAAAGCAAAATGTTTGGTAATTTTACTTTACTAATTTTTCTATTTCAAAAATGCATATATATATTGGGCAAAGCAAGAATCACTGAAAACAAATGTTGTATACTTAGTAGGACATTAATGACATTACATTTCTATTTAGTTGATTCTATCTGGTTAGTAATTCTTTTCCTAAAGTACTCATACAAACAAAAAATATGACACAAAAAGCTGTATATTCAAGGTAAAATTGAATCTGGGTAAATTTCCTTTTTTGTAAATAAAAATATTTTTGCATTTTTTTCCATAAATGTTTTGTTGTTGCTGTTTGGTTTAGGTGCTGGTAGTCAAAAACAGGGCCTTTCTTGTCCTAGGCAAGCACTCTGCCTCTGAGCTACATCCCCAGCCTCCACCATACAATCTTTAAAAAAAAACTTTACTCATATAATTAGAAGACAGAGCCCATAGATTATCAGGCAACACCCTTTATAATCTCCTTTGCCACACTGAATAAGAAGTGAGACACTAGATCAGCACGTGATACAAGTTCAATTATGGTTACTACTAACTACATAATAATTTAATTTTTTTCACAGTTCAAATTCTTCAAAAATGCTTTTATGCCATAGAATCTATGTCACTGGAAGTGATGAAGACTTAAGTGGGGGACAATAGAAGTAAACTGCAATATGCCAAGGGATTGGGATCTTTTTCCAAAGAACTCCTGCCATTTCTTTGTAGACCATTGAGCTTTGTAAAGCAATAATAATAACATTACTTATAAGATACAATAATTATAGAAGACAGCAAACCCTACTTAATTTCCAGTTTTTCCTCATATTCACTTCAGTTACAGTAACCAAATATGGAGATTTCACCGGGATTCGTTCATTTTCACTGAAAATTTCCAAGGAAATTGGATATTGTGTAACTGGAAACTTGAAGCGAGGAACCTAAAATGCAAATTCCAAGAATGATTGTAAATTTGGAAAATTCAATAGTAATTTAATTTCCTGGTCAAAAATGAATAGATATATTGCCAATTGTTTGGATATTCTAAATGAAATGTGCTTTTTAGGGTTTCTGCCTTTTCAGGCATGAAAAAAGTCTCAGTACAGAATCTGTGTGAACACCCAAGGCAATATACAAACATGGTAGTAATGAAATTCATATTTCTACTGGTGTTTTTCACAAGTATTAACTATGCTGTCATCCAAACTTTTTTTTTTTTTTTTAACTAAACCAAGACCCATGAGACCATGCATGAATTGCGTCCCAAGCATTCCACTTCCCCTTCTACTCCACCTCTACCCCTGACAGTTCACAGCTCAGGCTGTGGATTCAGCGTTCCAATCCAGCGCCAAAGTCTGTTAACAGTTTGATTTTTAGCAAGTTGCCTGGTTCTCTGCGATTCTAATTGAGATAAATCACAAAGAAGGCTTAAAGCAATGTTCAGATATATTATTTTAGTTGTATACAAGAGGTATACAATAAAACCCTCATAATTCTTTTTACTGAATGCTCAATCCCATATGATACATATGAAATCACTTCATAAACAATCTCTCTGTCTACTTATCTTTTCATGCTTTATATTTTCTATATAAAATACACAATCTGTATAATATCTTATGAGGCCTTTGAAATGGATCCACTTGAAGATTAAACCAACTGCTCGTTGACTATGCTAATGCAAACACCAACACTGATTTTATATGCCTTTGGGTGCTCTAGTACTAACAGAATGAAAGATTATTTGACACAGAACCCATCTCTTAACCAACATACTATACTTTTGTTTGTCATTACCACTAGACTGAGCTCCTTGTTTATAAGGACGTGGACTTCTATATGCCAAGAACCTGATACATATGAGAGCTTCAAAAAGTTTTTTTTTTTTTTTTTGGGAGAGGTACTGGGGAATGAACTCACTGAGCCACATCCCCAGCCCTATTGTGTATTTTATTTAGAGAAGGGTCTCATTTACTTGCTTAGTGCCTCCCCATTGCTGAGTCTGGCAATGAACTCACAATCCTTCTGCCTCAGCCTCCCCAAACGCTGGGATTACAGGCCTGCGCCACCATGCCCAGCTATTAAAAATTTTTTTGAATGAATCATTATTCACTATCATTTGGTATAGTGTTTTACAGGTTACAAATTGCTTTCATATAGATTGTGTGTGTGTGTGTGTGTGTGTGTGTGTGTGTGTGTCTTCATGGATCCCATTAAATGGACAGTGCAGTGCAGGTATTTTTATTTTACTTTACAGATGAGTTTAGGTACATTTAAATCCATATCTTTTAAATTCTGTATCATATTTAGTTCTGGGTCATAATAGGCATTATTTCTATGTCTGAGTTTTCATATTTAACCAAAAGACACTTCTCCAAATCCAATTCCAAGGGGTTTACTTGATGCTTTGACTATATCCCTGGTGGCATTGAAACTTACACTTTTTTTTTCTTTCTCCCAATCTTCTTTCCCCCAAACTTCTCTTCCCTGGTCTTCTGCTTCCTGATCTCTCCTCTCTAATCTCATTTTATCTGAATCCCCTCTATAATAGCCCCCTGTTCCTGAAGATGGGCAGAATCACAGCCTTTGGGACAGGAGTCCCCTGTGTTTCTCCTGTGCTAACAAAGCAATAAATCTTCAAAACTGTTTCCTTGTTATTGGATTGGCATCAGGGACAAGAACCAAGCTTTTCCCAACATGAATATGAAAGTACTCTGTCTTTAGGTGATTAAAAATTATCTTACTTTTTCTTTGCAATCTGAGAAAGCAACAGCATGTGAAAACTTCTGATCATTCGTACAATTACACTCCTCTCGAGAAGCAGCACGAGCACACTGTTTGTATTTACCAGTTTCCTGTGAACAGAAGCAGCACAAGTGATTACTTTTTTTGTGTTGCAGAATTTCTGTGAACCTTGTAAGTTTTCAATAAATATTTGCTCCCTGAATGAATAAAATTCCTGAGAAATTACAAGGAGAAAAGTCCATTAATAATAAAATAAGATGGCCTAGAGATGTAGCTCAGTGGTAGAGTGCTTGTGTCTTTATTTATTTATTTATGTATGTTTATTTATTTATTTATTTTTATCTTTATTTATTTATTTTTATCTTTATTTATTTATTTTTATGTGGTGCTGAGGATCAAACCCAGCGCTTCGAATGTACTAGGCAACCGCTTTACCGCTGAGCCACAACCCCAGCCCCAATTTCTGAATTTTCATTATATCATTGAATATTAATTTGTTAGTTGAGCTCAGTGCCATCACCTGAGATCTGTAAAGTCTGCCATTTGGAATGTGGCACATCAGGACCACCAACCTCCCGGCTCTGAGCCCTTCCTCTCACAGGCACCAAAACAGCCGGAAAGGTGCTATGCTTGTGGTCTCTTCCACAGGAGATTTCTCTGAAAGTCTGACTGTGCTTGCTTTCTGTCTTGAGAATTTCCTCAAATGTCTGGACTTCTTAATTGAATCTGTCTTCTTTATCTATCCTGCATGTATCTTCTTTATTTATTACCCATATTGATACATATAACTGATATCTACATTCTATTTGAAATGTTTACTGATGTTTCATGGAGTTTGTCCAGGAAAGAAAGAATATATATCTGTATAAGTGTGTGTGTGTATATATAATAAAATTGGTAAAATTATATTTTTATTTTGGAATATGCTGAGGAGTGAACCTCCTTGTACATGCTAAGCATGTGCTTAAACACAGAACCACATCCCCAGCCCCAATCTAATCATATTTTTAAAAACATGAACATCACATCACTCTTTCACTTAAAACTCTTGGATGACTCTTGATTTCTCTTGGGATAAAATTCAAAAATCCCCTTGTTGGCTTTGGAGTCCTAGCAGCTTTAGAGCCTGCTGATTTTCTCTTGCTCATTATGCTCCAGGCTAAATAGTTTTCACAGAGTTTTCAAAGTCCCTGAGCCTTTTCCTTCTCCACCCTTTGTGCATAGTGTTTGCTCAGCCTGGTATGTACTTTGCCTGCCCTTTCCCCTTTTATATGCCCCCACTTCTCCTCTGTTGGTCAACCCAACTCATCTTTTGATCTTGACCAGATGCCTTTCCTTGTGGATGACCTCCTAGACTCAGGAACACTGGTCTGCAGCCACATTGTTGACATGTGTTTGGCTCTCCAGTTGGGCTATCCGAAACTGCAGAAATGTTTTGAAATGCAGATTTCAGGACCGCACCCCATGGTTTCTGATTCAGTAGCATGAGGTAGGGCTGAGAAAGCTGCATTATAAAAATATTTCCACCGAATTCTACTTTGGGTTTTGCAGGGCCACACTGTTCAGAGACTGCACTAGGTGACAGCATTTCATTTGTACAGCTTTTTGTTTCATACCTGTTCCCTGTACAGAGTAAAAGCCATGAAGATACCAGGCTTATCTTGTTCAGTGTGGTATCCTCAGAGAATGTCTGGTCAATGCCTGGTAACACTGGAAATGTTGAAAGTAACATTTGCTGGATGTATACAAGGTGCGTTTTAAAAACACTCTTATTTACTTAGTTATAAATTAGATGGATACATTTCCTACTTAACTCCCAAGGGAATTTTGGGAGGAAAACCCCCAGAAAACTAAGGATTTGCATGTAAATATAGTAAAATCATGTTCCAACAGAGGTAGTTCTACTGACAAAACAGGGTTATAGTTGGCAGAAAATGAAACTGAGGAAGAACTCAGTATCATAGTTGCTCACTTCCTGGAGCAAAATTTCTTATAGGTATGTTAACTGCCATGTGTGAGTGTGTGTGTGTGTGTGTGTGTGTGTGTGTGTGTATTAATATATTTATGTATGGCTTTTCTTTCTTTCTTTTGTAGTACTGGGGATGGAACTCAGGGTCTGGCGCATGCTAGGCAAATGCTCTACGACTGAACCACACCCCCAGCTCTATAGTTTATTTCTTAAATGTCTCCTGAAGACCATGTGTTGAAGGCTTGATCACCAGCCAAGGAGTCCGAGGTGGTGGAATCTTCAGATGGAGCTTTCAGAGGTATAACCTAATGGAAGGAAGTTAGGTTATTGAACAGTTGCCCTTGAAGGGGATACTGTACTCCCTACTTACTCTCTCTGTCTGCCCCCTAGCCACTATGACGTGAGCAGCTTTGCTCTACCATGTGCTCCCACTAGGACATTCTGCCTCACCACAGATCCAAAGCAAAAGGGCCAAGTGACCATGGACTGAAATCATAAGCCAAAATAGATCTCTCCTCCTTAGAAGTTGATTGTCTCAGGTATCTTCTCATAGTGATGAAAAGCTGAATGATATGTCATATAAATGTGTATCATTAGCTTGTTCAACAATTTTTAAGTGTTCTCTGTCTGGCACTGTTCTGGGGATACAGTAGAAAACATCAAAAACTTGCCTCATGAACTTACCTTCTTATGGAGTCAGAAATATAATAAATAAGTGAGTAAAATACATACAAATTATAATACAATATTATAATAAGCAATATGGAGAAAATTATAATAAGAAAATTGTAATACAAATTATAAAAGTGATATGGAGAAAAATAAGGAAGAGGAGGGGGATGGAGACAGTGGAGAGGGGGGATTATGATTCCAAATAGTGTAGTCAGGGAAGGTCTCACTATGATGGTAATGTTTAGGCAAAAATCTGAAGAAGACAATGAGTGAGCCCTGTGATATCTGGCAAAAGATTATTCCAGACAGAGGGATTTCCTAAAACTGCAAAGGCCCTGAGGTGAAACATATCTGGCATACTTGAGAAATAGCAAAGAGGCCAGTGTGGCTGGAGCAGATTGCAGAAAATCAGGTCAGGTGCAATGCCAAGGCAAAAGCAGGAGGGCTCTAAACCATTTTAAGAATGCAGTTTTCCCTCTAATTGAGAGGGGAAGACACTGGAGGCTTTTGAACCACAGAAATGCCAATTTTATGTCTTTGAATGAGTTCAAGCAGATATGAATATCTGTTTGTGTATGTATATAGGAGGATGGATGCATTTTTCTGAAGATTGCATGAACATCTAGAAGGAGTCCTTGAGACGTTACCTCATAATGTACTTTTGTTCTGAACCACATGGCTCCCTGTATTCTGGCTACCTGGCTTACTCTCCCTCCAAAGAAGCAAGGTGCTTCTGGGGGTTGATTATTTTCTAGACAGACCCTTAGTAGTTTAAACGTGCCTATATTGAAACGAACCATCTTCTTTCCTTTTGGACACCATTACTTTCACAGGCTGGAGACTTGAGATGGGCCTAAGGTCTCCTGTCATTTGAGAAAAGCTGCTCTTGCAGCTATCCTCTTTGAAATCTTAATAGGAGCCAGGGAGAGGTCAAGAGTCCATTTAGACTTCTGGGCTCCAAATCTGTATTTGAGAGTGGCAGTTAAGGATAAGGGGATAAAGTAGTAGGAGGAAGAACAGGAATCACAGCAGTGGTGATAGTAGTAGTAGTAGTAGTAGCAGTAATAATCTTCTCAATCTATACAACTGGGTTCATTGGTAATTTTACCGAATGATTTCTTGAATAAAAATAAGTACTCTAGTAGTTTGTTTATAAAAAAAGATATTTACCTTGGACTTGTGAAATAGATTTCTTGGTATAGGTTTGCTAGGATCTGCATTATAAAAATTATCTGTGAGTGGAATGGCAATTCCCATGTTAGATGGAGGCCTGTAGTTTACCTTTAAGTGATTAGACAAAGAAAATGAAAAATTCATTATTAGTTACTAAGTCTGAAAATATCTTTATAGAAAAGGGGTCAATTCAAATATTTCTTTTTTAGCTCTTGGTATTAAAAATTTCCCTTCCCCCAACACTCCTACCCCTCATTTACTGGAATTTCAATTGCCTCAACCTATGTAATGTTACTTGGAACTTATAAGTAAGCAAAAGTTAGTGCAATAATGGTTAAGGATTTTTATAAAAGAGACTTAGTCATGTTGTCATTAAATAATTCAAGTTTAATTCAAGTTATTTATTTTTATCCCAAAGAAAATTATAAGTAGTGATTTAGTAATTTTTTATTTAAAAAAGAGTCCAGATTCTGACAAGGCAAGAGTTAAAATTATTACACTGAAATGGGACCAGTCAGATACATTAGCTTAGGATAAGTCAACTGAAGGGCAGGACAAAAGCTGTGGTTTGAGGATCATATGTTTTGTTCCTGGTTCCTCCCTCTCTTTCTGCTTCCTGGCTGCATGAGCATGCTCTTCTGCCCTGGTGTTCTGCCTGTCTCAGGCCAGAGCTTTGGGGTTAGCTGGCCATGTACAGAACCTCTGAAACTAGGAGCCCAAATAAATTTTCCTTCTCTAAGTTGTTCACAGTGATGAAAGACTGATTAGCACAGAAATTGGTACTGAGAGTGGGTCACTGCTGTGACTGACCTGACCCTGTTGTTCAGAAGCCACTGGCTTATAGGAGGAGTTTAGAAAAGTTTGGAGATATTGTTGGTAAAGGTGGCGCCCTGAGCACTTCTCATCCAGGAGCTCAGGTCCATGACGCACTGAATGGTGCACGAACCATCACCTCCAATCCCTGTGAATGGCGCGAACTTTGAATAGCGCACCTCCAATCCCGGAAGTGGCTTGAGCTCTTGGCTAATGAAGAAGTAACAACTCACTCGCCCTGCTCCTCCACATCCTGCATTGAGCCCATACATATCAATACCCTGTACGTGCTCTCTCTCTTCCCCCTCTCCTCTCTCTCCCTCTCCCCC